CACAGTGAACTCTGAGGTTTACCTTTATCCATTAAATTTGTGTGCCATTGCAAGATACTACCATTTGGAAATACACACCATCACAATGGTGTAAATCTTTTAAGTATTAATTATTCATATATTCTTATCTACCCAGTCGATTTTTGAAAAGATTTAACCAACAGTACAATATTACAGAAACAAAATTTAGCTCTCCCACCTGGAGCCGCCATCGCTCCAGCACCCAGAAGGTAGCTGTGCAGGTGCCCCTGAACCCCCATAACTCCCCTTACCCCCCCATGCATTCTCAGACCTGATTGTGCTAGTCTTTGGACCCACTCTGCAGAGGCAGAGGTGGTCATAAAGGGTATTTTTCTGAGTAACCAACTTTGAACATCTTTAAAGAAAGGGCGTGTTAAACCTGTAGTACAACGGTATGCAGTTCAACCGTTCAGAAGGTTGGGGAACTCAATCTGGGCCTTGCAGCCAGAGGTCAGTCTGCATCATGGGGTTCAGCCATCAGCTAACTGAGATCATGGGTCTTGCATCCTAGCTTTGTCTGAGCCACCATCCTAAATGGTAATTATACTATATTGAAAAGTTTGTTCACTGCAAAAATGTTCTGGACTGCTTCTTGATTTCAATTTAATTCAAATGGTTTAGTGGTGATAGACTAGTGACTACCACAGGTGGTCAGTTTCCAAGTTGTGCTTGATCATAATGTGTTGCTGATTGCATCAGTTGGAATAAATGATTATGGTTGATTTGATGAGTGGGTTTTCTCTGATGTTATGAAGATGAGAATGTCTGTGGGTCATTAGAGACCCAGAAGCTAGGGTGCAACTATATCAGGAAGATTTGGGTGATAACCCAAAGATTAAACCAAGGACAGCCCAAAAATAAAAATAAAAATGAAAATACATTTAAGCAAGACACAAAGACAGACTTTCAGTTCACCAATGGCCAACAGAAGGGCAAAGGAGGATGAAAAGGCTTATAGTGAACCACCAGGACACCCTGAACTCAATGCACAGAAAGTAACAAAACAGATCAATCAGGCTCTAGAAAAATTCAAAACAGAAATAATTTCCCACATAATCATAGAGATGGTGAGCAAAATGAAAGTCATGATTCGAGACTCTAGAGCAGAAACTGACAAAAAAAAATAGATGAGTTCAGGACCACGATAGAAGCCATGAAGGCCCAGCATAAGAAAGAAATGGAAACAATGAATGCCCAACATAGGAGAGAAATGGAATCCATTAAACAGATTCAAACAGATAACCAGGAGATTAAACACTCCATTGAAAGTGGATCCATTGAAAGCCCATCAGAATCACAGCAGACTTTTCAACACAAACCCTTAGGGCATTGAAAGTGTATGCAACAGAATAAAGGATTGCAAAGACAGAATCTCAGATATAGAAGATAAGATTGCAATCAGTGACCCTGAAAACAGAGGTCTCTTAACAACAGTAGGGGATCATGAGAAATCGATCCAACAATTCCTACATGATGCAAAGAAGAATAACATAAGACTGATAGGAATCCATGAAGTAGCGGAAAATACATAAGACATAAAAAAGCTGTTCACAGAATTAATGACAGAAAATTTCCCAAACAGAGCGGAAGAATTTGACATTCCGATAAGTGAGGCATATAGGACCCCAACTAGCCACAATCAAAAAAAATCTACACCTAGACATATAATAATCAAGATCCCAGAAACCCAACAGAAGAACAAAATACTACAAGCAGTAAGAGGAAAGAAACAAATTACATGCAAAGGAAAGCCCATCAGAATCACAGCAGACTTTTCAACACAAACCCTTAGGGCAAGGAGAGCCTGGAGTGAGATATTTCAAGTACTGAAAGAGAACAACCTCCAACCTAGACTGATGTATCCTGCAAAACTCTCTTTCAAAATGGATGGGGAAATAAGATACTTCCACAACAAAGAACACCTGAGAAACTACATGCATACCAAACCAGCCCTACAAACAATTCTAAACAAGATCCTAGAAAAAGACAATGATGGCAACAACACCATGAAGCCCAACAGAGCAAATCAAATAAGCAAGGAGAAGGTGAAAAAGTAAAAAGAGTCAACAAAAGGCCAATAACATGACAATAATAAGTCAATACGTATCAGTTATAACTATCAATGTCAATGGTCTCAACTCACCAATCAAGAGAAATAGACTGGCAAAATGGAAGAAGAAGCAAAATGGAACAATATGTTGTATATAAGAAACACAGTGCAAAAAGAAGCCCATAGACTGAAAGTGAAAGGATGGAAAACAATTCTCCACATGACAGGAGCCCAGAAAATAGCAGGGGTAGCAATCTTATTTGCAGACAAAGTAAATTTCAAACCAAAACTGATTCTAGTATTATAGATGTAGGATGGAACTGTATCATACCTCTGTGAATGTAAAATATATTTTACCTGCTTTATGATACGTAGTAGTGACCGTGCTTTATCAGAGCTATTTTTAATGATATTACTCTAGAATATTCTCTTTCCAGATGATGATTAAGATGCTAATTAAAAAAATGGTGCCACACATATGCAAATACCGAATAGTATCTCTGGTGTGAAAAACTATAATAGTATGCAAGATCCTAATGGGACACTTAGCAAATAGGAAGAAAAGTACCAAAGGTGTAGGGACAGTGAGGAGGATAGGGAAGGGGGAATAAGGGAAAAAGAAAAAAATATGAGAAAATGTAAAAATGGAATTAAAGTGTTTGAAGGGGTGGAGGGGAG